TCTGAACCATCGAACACCTTCGTCGAGAAGCATCTTCGACGAGAAACACCTTCGACGTCGAAGGCAACCAACTTCTCCCTTGGAAGAAATCTTCTAAGTACCTTGCCATCTTTCGATGGGCATTTCGACGGATCTAGCCGGTCGAAAACATCCTTCAGCTTTAATGGCTGACATTAATGAAACAAGGGTGTCGAATTTAGGAGCCAACACCTTTGAAGTATTTTTCTTCTACACAACAGCCGATATCCAAGAACTCTTATACTTCTTCATCACAGAAGCATCATCCCATCTTATACTTACACATAAGAAGCATCCAACTGAGGAAAAAGAGTCTGAAATGGTTTTCCAAACATGGACTGAACCTTGGAAAAGAATCCAAACAAGTACCAAACTTTATACTTCAACCCCTTGCAGTATTCAATATCTTGACTAAATTCCCCAGAACGGGAGACACATCAAGCATTTGTATCAAAATCAGGAGAGATAATTGTTGGAGGATGGCTCAAGGCGTGAAGCTTAATCACCTGAGCTTCCAACACCACGAGGAAGTAACTGGATACAAGGTATAAAGATTTTATCAACCTGCCTCTCAAGCTTTCTTTGTCTCTGCTGGTAATTTTCTTACCTCATGGGTCCACTTGGAGACCATAAACTAGCTGCTAGCAAGTAAATTCGTGAACACGAAGCTCTGGGTGAGACCCACAAAGTATCTCATGATTTGGAAAAAAAAGTCCCATATGCTGGGGATGAATGACAACTCCTGTTGCAACAACGTATATAAGATCACTTTTCTTTGCCGACATTGTCTTCAAAATTCCCATACCCGACTCAACTAAGTCTTCCACTGGCTATTTTTTCTTTGAGGATTTCTGACTACAGGTCATTTTTGGCATGTGCATGATAAACGACCCCATCTGATTCTTTTTATCTCACCCAATTCCTCACAAAGTTGTTTCATAAATTGAATCTGATCACGAAGCAGCGAGAAGTCAAGATTGGCAATTCTGAAAAGAGAATACTGAATCTGAATAAGGATTCCCCATTCCGAGTACCTTCTGAGTACCTTCTATGGATGCATGAAGATGCATGAGGTGAGTGAGAAAATTCTCCCTCTTATATGATTCAGACATTACAGTCTCTAGATTGATCTTGTCTTGGGTCTTGTCTCTGGATGACGTACCATCTTCAATCGATTGGCCAGGTGCCCCAGAATAATATGCATGGGAGATTCCTTCAGGAGAACAACTGAATGCTTTTTTAAGTGAAAACGGCATCATCAGGCATACTACGCCACAAAAAACTAATACAGTTTGTCTTCTATCAAAACAAAAGAGACATCCACCTGGTAAAAGAGAGTTTGGAAGAGACTCCAAACAGGTGTTGGGCTTTTATAACCCCTTTGTAGTCTTCAATATCAAAACCGGGTACCCCAGAATAGGAGATGTATCTAGCATACATATCATAATCAGAAGAGACGTTTGTGGGAGGAAGTTCTCAAAGATAAGAGCTGGGAAGAATTGGGAATAATAGGATGTAATGCATTGGGCTCGCATTAGCATGCGCATCAGGGTTCTTGTGTCTTGGCTTAAAAGCTTTCCCCATGAATTTACTTGGAGAATAAAGACTAGCTCTTGTTGAACAGATTGGTGGACACGGAGTTATGGAGGATGCCCCTGATTAAAAGGTATGATTCCCTGGCGTGGTAACCACATCTGACGTTGGTCAAAAAGAATGAAGCACTGATATAAGATCACATAGTAAATGGGAACCATCTCCTGATAAGATGTTCTAAGAACTCAGGATTGCGTAGCACTCCATGGTTAGAAGCAATTCCCAAAAGATGGGGAGAAGAGAGAACCTTGTTGCAGCCATAAGTTTATTGATCATCATTAGAGCTTCCATGACCTGGTTCATCTTGAGTCTTTAATCAATTATCTTCCTGTTCGAAGAAATTTCTGACCACGGGCCAAAGCTTGTAGGTATACCATATGGAGTTATTCCCTAACTGATCCTTGAGCATGTGGTAGTAAGAATCAAGCTGAACCTCTAAGGAGAACCATGTCTGAATAAGAATCCCCAATCTTTGAGTACCTGTTATGGATGCATGAATATACATGGGATGCATGAACGGATGCCATGTCATCTTCAATTATTTACAAGGAATTTACGTGCTTTGATTTTGATCTTACGTAAGTAAGGATGGAAAAGTTTGGCACTAGGCTCACAAATATGATTCCTTGGAAATCACAGGACATGTATGTTAAGCATGTGGTTAACCATGTTATGTATGCACAGATATGAGATCAAATGGGATCAAGGTTCCATCATTTCCAAATATGATTGCTGCGTTATTCTGAACCATATGAATATCATCAAATCAAAGGTCCGACATAGCTTCCGCACATATAAAAGCCGAGTACTATGTAGATCTAAGTAGCATGAGATCAAGGCTTCAGGAACATCAAGTACTGTTTGAGCTTTTCTGAGTATGTTGGGAATGCTAAGATCAAAGGCTTGAATGAACTTCCAAGTAATCAAGTCAGGAACTCAGAAAATAAATCTGAGAACCAAATGGTCACCAACAGAACACCATATGCATAAGTCATTGACAGAAGTCCATAACATGATCATTAGAACCACTAATCACCATCTGATCACAGTCTCCATCTGAGCATGAGTAACCATTTGAACATATAACCAACTGTACCTGTAATGACAAATCCCTCCCCACTCACGGGTGAAGACTAGGTCAGGGTAAGACAATGGTAACTCGAAAATCACGGGTCCTCCTGAAAGTGCTATGGGCTTACCCACAGACGTGGGTGCCGATAGTAATTCATTTGAACCTCATCCGAGCGTGGTATATAACAAGACTGCACTAATTGGACCACGTCCTATAGCCGTCATGCCCCCACTCTATTCCTAGTGTCCTAGTGAACTCTGGCCTGGGTACTGGGTCTTTTACCTCAATAGTGACATCCCCATCCAACATGGAAAACAGAGTCCAGCATAATAGATAACAAATAGGGAAAGCAATAAAATACAATGCAAACTTATGCTCAGGCAAACATGTACAAATGAGTAAACTGAAAGCATAAAAATAAACACCCAAAGAAAAGAAAACAAGAGCTAGGATCGACTCCGGGATGGACCAGCATTTGGTCGAACTTATTCCCCAGTGAAGTCGCCAGCTGAAACAACCGTCTGAAAATCATCAAAACAATGAAGTCGCCATCGAACGTCTTTTATCCCACATGAAGGGAAAGGTAAACATCGATTAAACCTGAGAAGGGTGAAATCGAGGTCGAACGACCAAGAGATAAGGGTAAGGGAGTCTGTTACGCGAGGGGAAGGTATTAGCACCCCACACGCCCGTAGTACTCTACGGTATCCACTCTTGTCGTCTATCTTATGGGTGTGTTTAATCTATGCTTACTGTCTATTACTGCTAAAGGGAAAGTGCATGCAAAAGAAAGGGGAAAAGAATGTAGGGAAAATAATATTGTGCTCGTTCGGGCCCTACCCCGATGCCTATGTATCCCTTTTAAGGAATCAGAGCAGCCGTAGTTCGGCTTATATGTTTTTTGTTTGTTTGTATTTTTTAATGAATAGTATTAATTTCGCCTTCTGCCGCAACTCGACCTTTGGAGACTTACGCGTCAGCACAGAAGTGAATTAATATGCTCTTTTGAAAAGGTTTGGAGAAAATGTGCTTGGGCGCACAAAAAGGTTTGAATTTTGTTTGTGTTTGTAATGAACGATATTAATTTCGCCTTCTGCCGCAACTCGACCTTTGGAGATTTACGCGTCAACACAGAAGTGAATTAATATGCTCTTTTGAAAAGGTTTTTGAGAGGAAGGCCCGAAGGCCACAGGAGTTTGTATTGGTTGATATTTTTGCTTGTAGATAACAGCTAGTTAATCTCAAGAGAAAGATTTTAACCATGTCTCTACTTATTCGTGAAATGAGTCTTTGAGACTTGAACCGTGCCAAGGCTTAGAATGGAAAAACGATAAGATCGAGAAGAGACCCGCTTATCATCTCCCATGTTCAACAAAGGAACGATTCTCGCCAGCAATTTTTAAGTATTTTTTGAAGTTTGTAAAAAAAAAAGAAATTTTTGTTTTAATGTATATGCAAAAAAGAAAAAAAGAAAAGTCACAGGGAGACTAACCTATTTCTAAACCTAATTTTATTATGCAATGGTAGCCCTAAGTCAAGGATGAATGAAAGGGAAACATTTACCTAATGTTAGCATGCATAGCTTGCGGTAAAGCCCTACTTCTCATGATTTTTATAGAAAAGCGGTAAAAGTTCGGGGATGGGGGATAAATTGAAGTCGCGATGATACCGAACGGAGAAGGTCCGTGGCCTCTTCAAAATTGTGCAAGCGGTAAGAAAATTCTATCAAAGTTCCCTTGGGCAAGTGATTGAAGAATTAACCCCTAGTATTCCACATTGCAAGAGTTATATCAATGCTATCACAAAAATCTTGACTAAAAAAAAAGTCAATAAAAATGATTACCAAATATGAAAAATAAAATAGAAAAAATTCTAATCAAAATTCTAAAAAAGAAATTCTAAAGAGTTCTAAAATATTATACCACTTTTTATTATTATTTTTTAAAGAAAATTCTAGCAAACAAGAATTAATTCCTAAATATAAAAAAAACTAACAAGTTTTCTTTTGGATTTTAGAATTTTTATCATAAAAAAAATGGACAAAATTATGTGCAAAGATAAAATCCTAAAGATTATGAGGACAAGGGGTGTAGTATTGAAATCAGGGTGTTAGGCCCATCTTAGCAAGGGTCCAGAAACTCCTTTTTATTATTCATAAGCATCACGTAAAAAAAAATCAGAAGCAGGCCTAAGAGTATTCAGTTTTGGTCCAATAGTTTTCAATAACACCAACCCAATTGTTTATTCTATATTTTTTATTACTTAGCAATATATGTAATCTATTGAATAATAAAAAATAAAAAATGAAAAGAACCAAATGGAAAAAGGGATTAGGGTTACAAACAAAGTGACCACTCAGCTTCTCAACGGAGTTCTCTTCATCTCTGTCTTCTCTCTCGCGACGGCGGCGGAAACCTCTTCCTTCAATCTTCCGTCTCTCACGCGCTTCGCTTCATCATCTCTTGCGGCTCAGCGGCGGCGGCTCCCTTCTCCAGACCAAATCGGCGGTGAAACTCCTCATCTTCAAACCAAATCGGCGGCGAACTCGACCTCCTTCACCGATTCTCTTCGTCTTCTTGCTTCTTCACATAGAAGCTTCTCTTCTATAATCAAAACAACAACGATGATGCCGTTATGACTCCGTCCTCCTCCGATCTGCGGCGATACAATGCCACGATAACCCAGAACACCATCTCGCCATCTCTTTCCCTCAGTTTGCACCGTATAATCTATCCTTAGCAAATTCAAATGAATTCATAAACCCGGTCAGAGAAGCTCCGACGATGATGTCGATGTTGTAGGAAATCAAGAGATTCAGATATTTTCCATTGTTATGCTTCTTATACCTCTCCTTATCGTTCACGTTCTTGACTCTTCTACTCCAAATTCTTCTTTGAATTTCAGCTTCCTTGGTGCGTTATCGTCTGTTTGTGCTGATGTTGAACGAATTTTAACGATGATGACAAAAAAAATATGATGAATTCCTTGTTGTTGATTGCAGATTCTTGACGAAGTTGCTGTGAAACAAAGATGAAGATTGAAGATTGTTGCATCAAGACAATGTCGACGCAGTTGTGTGGATGTTGCAGAATCGATGCGATGATGATGATTGGCGGTGATATTGAGGACGAAGAGTGGAGGTTTTGATCGTTGAAGAAGCTAAACTTAGTAGAAACTTGCAGAGATTTTCAGATTTTTTTGGTGAGTCTTCTCTTGTATTCAATGAGTGAAGTTTCTCTTTGAGTTTTTTTTGTTTGAATAATCGTATATCACTAAAATGAAATCCCCCCCTTGCCATCTGTTATGGACCTTTCTTTTTATAGTCTCTTTTTTCTGTTGAGTTTGTTAGCAATTAGGAGTTATAGAGTTAGTTAGAAAAGTTGGCATTCTGTTAGAAATTTTGGTTAGAAGTTTGTTATGGTTACAAGTTAGTTGTGACAGTTCGGAAAGTTAGAAATTATGTTAATTCTCTTTGCAGTTAGTAGTTAGTTTGTTACTCTGTTTGACAGTTAGTTAGTAGAAGTTAGTTTAAGAGGAATTCTGTAAGTAATCTGTTTTGGAATGGTTAGAAATCTGCTTTGTTACAATTTCTTAGAACTGAAATGTTAACTGTTTATTGATTTTTGCTTTTTAATCTTTCTATGCAGGGCTGAACTGTGGACGGGCTAGGAGTTTCCTCATGAGAATGAGCTTTGTTCTGCCATAGAAGCCGGATCAATACCTTTGTAGATTGAAGATTCGAGATTCCTTAATGCAAATGGCGCCAAAAGGGGCTTGAGATGAAAGCAAATGTGTTAACCTTCTCACTCTTATGTTAGGATTCCTTTATTCAATTACCTATCTCTTTGTTGTTGAAGCTGTTGTGTTGTTGCAGGTATCGCTTCTGGGAGCCCTACGAAATGGCGGAAACAACCTCCTCTTGTCCAATCACCCGTTCCCGAAGTTTATTATCAAGATCCAACAGAAGACTACTTTCATCAGCAGTGAGCTGCTGAACTGGAATTCCTGACCGGAGGGAAGCAACTGCTGCTATATGATCTGGCCTAACTTCTATACGCTCATTAACAAATACTGCAGAAGTTAAATACAATTCCAGATGTGGCAGAATATTTTAGCTTGCTCTCCTGAATGTAGTAGTCTATTTCCTTTTGAATATCCTCAACCAAAGTGATGTGTCAGACTCATTTTCCAGCTCTTTTGCCTGAGTGAAAGCAAGTAGTAGCTCATTGCATATAGTTCTAGTTCTCGTTCACTAAGGATATCTTCCTCCCTGAAAGTTATGATAATCTCATTCCATATTAAAGCAAACCTGGTGGCATCCATTTGGCTTGATTCAATTTTTGTGAAGGGTTTACCAAGTCCGTATCGTAATTTCAACCGATGGATGGCATCGCGAAGCTTCCTCTGCAACGTTGCCTGCTGACTTAGTAGCTTCTCCTCTGGCATCAGATTGAACTGCATTGCACTGGCAAAGAACTGGAACCGAAGCCTTAGTTCTGAGATATTCTGAATTTCACCCAAATGTGAAAACAAACCAATCGTACCATCAACAACGGCAGAGATAATCGAATACCATATTTTCAGATCCATGAAGTATATCAGCACAACAGGTAACCCAGCATAACAACTGCAACTCTGTTGGTGTTATTGAAAAACTCATGCCATTTATAATTAATGCCCCTAAGTTTCAATAGGGCCTTTGTAGCTTTTTTTTGTAATCTTGAAATGACATGTACTGTAACATGAGTGAATGAAAGACGCTCGAATGATTGAACTTGAGTAATTTGAATAATTTGGATGGCCATGGATGGGAATAGTTCCGACTTGTAATAGAAATTTGATTTCCTTTGTAAATTTGTAGCTTTTTGTATATTTTGAGAATTATGTAGTCAAAGCAGAGGCTTGAATGAGATGTAACTGATAGAACTTGAATATGCTGAAACTTGCTACAATTCAAAATTCCATGTCTATTATTTATGAGCTTTTTTTATTTACAAGATGGAACCTCTTGAATTATGCCATTTCTAAACATTCTTTAAGTTTCTTAGCTTTTGGTAAATGGAGGCCTTGATCACTTTTTAGTCAAATTAAGGAATTCTACCCATCCGACCTCAAATTTAATCCATGGTACTCCATGATGAGTGTCTTATATGTTTCACAAGAACTTGAATCAAAATTTTCCTTGTATGCCATATTCCTATAAGAACTTTGGTTCAAACAAACTTGCACACCATGCTTTGGATCTCAAAACTCAAATTTCGATGTTTGAACTTCCAATTCTAAACACCTCGCACCTCAAACTCGCATGAATGGAGACCCTTGACTTTTAACCTTGAACGATGACGGATATTTGTAAAAAAATGATGATGATTTGTACTTGGAATTTGAAACTTTGATGACTGAGATGTCTTTTGTAACTTTGGTGTAATGACTTGAATTTGTAATGAACAAAACTTTATAACTTCTTGCATGACAAATTTCCAATTATTCAAAACATTTGTCTCACTCAGTTTGAGCTTGAATGGATACTTGAATGAACTTGAGACAAACATGATAAACACTCGAATGTTATTTAAATTAATCTTTTTATCTTTTACCTTGGGGTGAACAATGATGTGGGATAGTCTTGAAAATAACAACTTGAATCATGAAGATATTTACTTGATACCATGTACTTTAATCTCAACTTATATTCATGTGTCATCTTCCTCCGCAAGAATTTATGAAATAAACCTTCGGGCATGCTAGTTCCTTTTCTATTAAGTTGAGCCTTAACCCATGTTTGAAACCAAAGTTCTTGCACAAATATCCAAACAATAGCTTGTACCAATTATTCGCAATACCTTGACTGTCAAGCAACCAAATTTACCATACAAAATATCTTAAATCATGACGTACCCAATCCTAATTGATTAACTTAAGGATAGATGAACTTAATGCAACAATGACATAGTCAACAACCTGTATTGCAAGCATCATATGCATCCTGGATTGATAACAGATCTTGATCCTTTAGAGAAGATCTTAATACACCTCTAGTATTGACAAAACCTTGACCAAATGACAAGCACAATGATAGAATGAGGTGTTTTGAATCATGTACGCAAGATCACAACCTTATGTTATTGACAGGAATCCCCTGCAACTTATTGTTCAACAGAAGATAATAACCTTGTAGCTTGATGGAGAAGAAATCCAAAAAAAGAGAATGAACCAAAACCCTAATTCCACAGCTTGCTGCCTGAATAAGAAATCATACCTTATTGGATACGAGCGCCTTAACCACTGGGAAACCCTAGTATCGCACAACCACTGGACTTTGAACCTCAGAGCTATATTGAATGAAATGTATGCCATGTTAGTGACCTAATGAAATAGATGCAGATGAATGCAAAAGTCTAAGCCAAAATAAAAGAAATTAGGAGGGCAAATTTTGCGGTGCAACAACTGGCCCAGAAGTTCTGACCAAAATTTGTCTTGAGACTATCCATAATTTGCTGAGTGTGAACACTGACCCAGAAGTTCTGAAATTATCATATTTCTTAAACACTTAGAAAATTTCTAAGTATTTAGAATTTGACTTTTCCAAAGTAAAATATGACTTTTGAAATTCTTGATGAAACAAACTTCATATTCCAACATGTCTTGATGAAATATGATTTTTGAGATTTGATTTTGATCCAAAAGTCAAAGTTAGACTTCTCAGTATGCAAATGACCGTTTTTCCCTTGTGAATGGTTTGCTTATAAAAATTGATAATTCAAGGTTTGGAATTGGATGAAAGCAAACTTGAGGATCCAGGGTGATTCCTTGATAAATGAGAGGGCAAATTTTCGGGTGCAACAACTGCCCCTGTTCAAACTTCTTGAACCTGAAGAGTTAGATTGGCGGATCTGCCATTCGTGACTTGAAGATGAAAGATGATTGAACACTAGAGTGCCCAGAAATTTGCACTCGAAGATGGATGGTGAATGAGCTTATAGATTCCATTTGGAGGAATGTTGGTAAACGCTGGAAGAAGTATTAGCACAAATCTCTTGTTGATTCATACTAAACTTGATGTTTTACCTGTGAGAAAAGGGGTTAGTAAAATGCAAATGCTTGCATGATGTTCACCAAATATGGTATCATGTTAAATGCATTGGTATGTACATTCTATGATGTATGAATGTGAAATATGTGTTTTCGTCCGAGAAAATAAATCCCTGACTACTGCTGAGGAAATCTTCAGAGGTTGAATCCTTGATTTCCTATTGGAAATGAAGAATATGCATATCTTCAAATTTTATTGAAGGGATGCTTTTGCTGGGGAACATCACTCAAATATCAGTTGTTATCTGGTTCGATCCAGGCTTCACAATTGCTAAGGATGAAGTAGTCGGTTGTTATCTGGTCGGATCCAGGTTTCACGGTGACTTACTGGGAGAAGAGATGAATTAACTGTTATCTGGTCGGATCTAGGCTTTGTAGAAAATTCCTTGAAATTGAATAGTCATCTGGTCAGGTCCAGGTTTCACAATAACTTGCTGGTGATGTGGAAGTTAACTGTTATCTGGTCGGATCCAGGCTTTACAGAAAATTCCTTGAAATTGAATAGTCATCTGGTGGGGTCCAAGTTTCACAACAACTTGCTGGGGA